AATTAATTGCTAAACCGTGATAGAATCACATTAAAGTACAACAAATGGTCATCGATCTGAGCTTAAAGGCAATGAGTGGAATCAGATATGAAGTATTCTGTATGTACTGTCTAAGCCAGGCATCCAAAGACTGGATAGGGGGGTTGTGGCTCTTGGATAGATTTTTATCTGACTCTTTACTTGGTACAGTTATGGAACTATTGACCTTTTTTTGCATAATTCCAGTACTTAAAAAGCTAATTCCTCTATGAGTACTTTACACAAGTCAATCCTGCACAACCCCTAACTTGTGACTCCTTTATTCTCCTTCAGGCCTCTGAGATAGCCAATGAAACAGGCGACAGAGCAGCGTCCTACCATCTGGCCAGAAACTACGAAGGTCATGATGACATTAAACAGGCTGTTCACTTCTACACACGAGCTCAGGCCTACAACAACGCCATCCGACTCTGCAAGGTGAAGTTCTACGGAGTTAGCATTGTTATTCAAGATGGAGTCAAGATAAAAAAAAATATGTTTCATATCTCCCACAAACTACAGTTGAAATCTCTGTTGTTGTTTTTTTTCCTCCAAGGAGAACGGTCTCGATGACCAACTGATGAACCTGGCTCTGCTCAGTAATCCAGAGGACATGATGGAGGCTGCTTGTTACTACGAAGACAAAGGCACTTACATGGACAGAGCTGTCTCTCTCTACCACAAGGTTTGGTCCTCACTCTGAGTGGATTTTCTAAACTACAGTACTTGTACTAGGATTGGGCCACATGGTGGCAGAGTGGTTAGTTATCTTACTTTACAGCAAGAATCACATGTTTGATTCCTGCGGGTTGGTTTTTAATGTGCGCCCTCCCTTGCTGCACTAATGAACAGAAACCCACCACAGGAGGGCGATATTGTATCCCACATACAAGCTGAATAAACTTTATTCATAACCCACTGTAATAATTCATCTGTCTGATATAGAGGTACGTTTATGTATCTGCCTATTCCCCCTTGCAGGCTGGTTATGTGTCTAAAGCTCTGGAGTTGGCCTTTGCCACTGAGCAGTTTGCTGCCCTTCAGTCGATCGCTGAAGATCTGAATGAGAACTCAGATGCAGCGCTACTGGCTCGATGCTCCGATTTCTTCATCACACACTCCCAGTACGAGAAGGCTGTGGAGCTGCTGGTGGCCGCCAAGAAGGTACGGCGGGTCAGTCACGCCATCTCTAAATCTACATGCAAGAAACTCTAGTCTGTGTTTCATTTCTTATCGACCCATGTGTGTCCAGTACCACCAAGCCTTAGAGCTGTGTGTCAACCAGAACCTGACCATCACAGAGGAGATGGCTGAGAGAATGACCGTGACCGACTCTAAGGCTCTGACTGAGGAGGATCGCAAGGACGTACTGGAGAGGATTGCTGACTGCTGCATGCGTCAGGGCAACTACCACCTGGCCACCAAGAAATACACACAAGCAGGAAACAAGCCTAAGGTAAAAACAAAAACAAGAAGTTAACATACACAAAATATTTCAGTTTAAATAAATAAATAAATATTTATCTATTCTTATTATCTATTCTTACATCAGGCCATGAGGTCACTCCTAAAATCTGGCGACACAGAGAAAATCATCTTCTTTGCCAACGTCTGTCGTCAAAAGGAGCTTTTCATCATGGCTGCCAACTACCTGCAGTCTCTGGACTGGAGGAAAAACCCAGAGATCCTGAAAACTATCATTGGTTTCTACACCAAAGGCAGAGCACCGGACCTGCTGGCTGGTTTTTATGAAGCCTGTGCTCAGGTAAGGACACATTTACTGACACGCTAATATTTGATACTATTATTTATTTCATAGAAACAAAAAAAATATTTTTAGAAAGTGAATCAGTGCAGAGATCGTGCAACATGAACTGATTCCTTACGAACACCTGAGTCCGCTCCCGCCCCTGACTGTGGCTCCGACCGGTACAGCCCAGTCTAAAGTCACGCTTTTCATTTACAAATGTGTGACCAAGCACCCTGTCCTCTCGGAGGAAATCACAGGCAGCGAATGTGATTGCGGTATGTTAGAAACTCTTCTGCATCATCCACATTTGCGTGTCAGCTTTGTTGAAATCGAGCTCATTAACAAGTGGATTCAGTAGCCCCCGACGGAAGGCTCCTCAAAGCTGAGGTTTACACATCAGCTTTACACAACTAAACAGGAAACACAGGTATGTGACTGCCTTTACAAACCAAAAATTCTTAGGGGATAAATGCACACTGTGGTATCCTATAAATAACTTGTCCATGTTGAGAGCACTTGTAGTGATATGTTGAGTGCACTGGGAGTCTGAACCTAAAATCTTACCTTGGGAGTTTGTAAGCTATCTGTGTTAAATACTAGAGTTTTGATGAACTATTTTTCTGGTATTTGTCAACAAGTAGTTGCTTACGATATTTGTTATATTATATATTAATATTTAAAAACATTTGTGAACTTTTTCATTGTTTCTTGTTTTTTTTTTAAGGTGGAAATTGATGATTACCAAAATTATGAGAAGGCACTTGATGCACTGACCGAAGCTGCAAAGTGTCTTTCAAAGGCAAAGGACTCCATTGGACAGTATGAAGTTAGATTAGCTGACCTTCAGCACAAGATCAGTCTCATCAAGAAGTTTGTTCATGCACGCAGGTGAGGATGAAGATCCGCTTCTGTAGTGTCTCTTCACTCATTTCTCCTGGTTGTTCTGGTTGTGGGTGTTCTCACTCTGTCCCTGTCTGAAGGTTGTATGAAAACAATCCTGCTGAGGCTGTGCAGGTCTGTGAAGCTCTGCTGGAGGAACCGGAATTGGACCCTGCAGTCAGGGTTGGAGATGCCTACGGTTTCCTGGTGGAACATCACTGTCAACAAGGAAACTTTCAAGTGGTAACTCTCGTTGTCTTTCAGTTTTACTACATCATAATTTGAGAAGCTGAAATCCAGTCCATAGAGTTTTACAGTAGTAAAAAAGTGTGACATCCGTTCGCAGGCATACCGTAAACTGGAGGAGCTCCAGAAGCACCTGCCGTCTCAGAACATCAGGTACTACATCAGCCAGGCCAGTCTGGAGGCCCTGCAGAAAGGCATGGGGATTTCCTTAGATCGAATTGACACCAGAACCATTGTGAAGGAGGAGGATGAGGTGGAGGAGGATTTAAACATGTCTTAATACAAACAGACACTGTGTCTCTTCGAGGTCAAACTCTGGCTAAAGTTATTAGCCCTCAGCATGTGTTGCAATAAAGCAAGGGGAGAATTACAGTCTCTTCATAATTAGGTGAAGCATTTTCTGTATATATGTACATGTGTATCTACTTGTATATTGTATATATGTCTGTACTTTTTAAAAAAGATATTCATGTTGTCCAGGACAAATGTGCCTTACTTAAAAGTCACCAGGTGCCTGAATGTGACTTTCATGTGCCTCTGATGTTTTTGTATAAATTTAAAAAAAGAAGACAATAAAATAGTTTGACAAATAAAAGAACTCCATATTTATTTGTTATGTTATGTAGATTCTTTTTGAGAAAAAATGTCACTATACTACTACTAAAACATCTTATGAGAATAAAGTTTTATGGTTGACTGGTGTAATCCAAAGAGTACGTGTAAATTTTGATTATGTTAAACATAATTGGTCATTGGTATCTAAGTTTAGTTAGCAAATACTTAAATGTACTTACGTTCTACGTTCTTTCTAGCTAAGTTAAATATTTATATATATATATATATATTTAGATAGATATACATATCTATATATATATATACATATATGTATATATAATATACGATGTGTAATAATGGTCGGATTTCATTTTACTCCAAATAAATTGTGCATATATTCTGTATGTTTATGGGAGCGGGGGTGCTTTTCTAAACACATGTATGACTTCCTGGTACCACCCTGTCTTTTTTATCAACACTGAATCAGACCATAAGGCGGTGTGTGTGTTTGCCTGTGTGTGTGTGTGTGTGTGTGTGTGTGTGTGTATTGTACTCGGTTTCATTCAAAGACGTGATTCAGAATGCGTGATTCAGTCTTGTGTTTTGTTGGTCTCACAAGAACAAACATTAATACGCTGACAGGAAAACAGCAGAATCCCAGTGTCCGGATATTCCAGGGAATTTAATAGGTCTGATGACAGCTTTACCAAAGTTTCTCATTGATGACTATTTTTAAAGAGCAGCATTGTACTGGAATCACACAGATCTCCACCCTCAGAGATGTGAGTTACTTCTGGGACCTGGGTCTGTTGTGGAGTGTGTGTGTGTGCGTGTGTGCGTGTGTGTGTGTGATACTGACAGAGTTTCTCATAGTTTAGGTTGGAAACAGCACAATTAATTGAATAATATCATTTGTCATTTGTTTGGCCTTACATGTCTTCTTGTATCCATAGCGACCTACAGTAATAACCTGAATGAGTTGTAAGAGAGTTGTGTTTTTAATATGTTTAACTAGACTTGATGGATTCAGAGAATTTTTTTTTAATTTTATGTAAAATTCTGGCAAATGTGCTGTTTTTTGGTAGAATCAACAAAACAAAATTTTGTTGATAAAATCTTTTTCAATATTTCACATGCAGGCCTGCAGTCAGGTTGAACTACATACAGTCTTCATATTAACATAAATATGAATATCTGATATTATTATTATTGTTATTCTTATTCTGATCTGACATTACTCTTTTTGTTGAGTGCACATCTGTGAGCTTCCAAAAAAAAAAATACTAATAAGAAAATCCATGCCATCACTCACTGTGTTTGAATATTACCCAGTAGATTTATTGCATTTGTATGATATATTAATATAATCTCAATGTGCCTCTAGTGTGGAAAGAATCCTGGAGTCCTCTATGGAAATACAATATGGTCATAATAATAATAGAAATTAAAATAATAACACTAATAATGAAGACTAATGATAGCACTATTCTTTACACAACAGTGTTATTCTGTATAATTTAAAGTATACAATATGTACCACAAGCGAGCAGAGTTTCTCATGGGAGGAAGTCATAAAAAGTGGTAAAATGTGCCTTTTAAAAACAAAACAAACAAAAAAACAGTTTGTTGTCCATACATTTGTTGCCATTAGTTTAACAAGTAGTGCTAAAACTGTTAAGTTGAATTTTTGTTGCATACAAAACGCGTTTTTGTGAAAATTTGTCACTGCTTTGAAAATGCCCTGTGAAAAAGTTAAATGCTTGAATCGAACTCTTCTGCCTTCATCTTGTTAGTTAACCTACTGTATATATATAAATATATTTTCTATATCCATATTAACTAAAGTTGAAATTAGCTTTAAAATGACATAAAACACGTATGAGGTATTCTGGTAAAATATAGTATTCTACACCTTCCAATTTCTAATACCACAGGAGACCGTCTGATAAGTGCATATGTAAGAAAACAGGTCAAGTTCCAGCTTGATCTTCTCATCAGGAGCAGGTTAACGCAGATGTCATCCATAGTTCTTCCGGGTCTGGATAAATAAAGTTGTTGGAAGATTTGGGGCTGCTCCATACTGTGGACTATAACATATTCCACTTTGCCCTCACTGTAGCTGACAGTGGTCTGCATCTGATGTCCGGTGACCAACATCTGGGCTACACACTGTTCAATGGGCCATTTTCTTGCATATTCCTGGATCAGACTGGTTCAGAGTGGAGTCAGTAGAGGACCAGGTTTAGTTTAGAACAGGTGGATACTGTATGTGGTCCACATTTGGTACTGGTACGGATACTGACGTGGGTCACCAAACATCTGTGATTCATTTTTTTACATACACCGGTTGTACCAGGTGGGCTAGGAAATGGACGTAGCCTTTTGCTAACCATCTCTGCTCCAGTTATGGATGATGAAACCAATTCTTGAACAACCCTGAGATGTAAGAATGTCTTAAGATCAGACAGGAGGATGCAAAAAAGTATCTAATAATTAAAGTTCTCATGCAGTCAGGAGAAGGGTGCAAAAAAAAAAAATCCAGAGAAAATTTAGACTTAATTCATGGTTTGGAACCTTTGGAAAATAAACCCAGAGATAAACCAATAAGTAACAACGTCAGCTTTTTTTGTTTCTTGTTGGTTTCTCTTAGGTCTAATTCAAACCTAGAAAAATCTGAGGTCAATTCAGGAAATCACAATTCAGAGTAAAGAGTAAAGTTTAGAGTAAAATAGAAGATAAAACAAAACTTTGCTTCTATTTCTACGTAGTTTCACACATAATCTCTCTGTCTTGTTTGATTCTCCATAGGAACAGAACATATTCAACCAAATTAACATCAGCTCCCAATAATGAACACCAGGAATTCTGGGTCAAGACCATGATATTAATTTACTGCATGACTGAGTGATGAATATCCTCACAGTCCCATAAACTTACAGTACATGTACAGTACATGTGAGGTACTTCCAGTCCTATTGGAAAAACTCCAGTAGAGTCTGATCTATATCTAAAGCTTCATGTTTTTGTTTTTTTAAATATTAAAAAAACGACTGTTGGCCTGTGAGCTGCAGCCGTTGCTCTTATATCTATATCTATATATTTTTTTGAGGGGCAAGTTTTGAAATAAACATTTGTCAGTCCATCTGCAGTTGAGTCACAGAAGTGTCCTCAGAATCTCTGAGAACTCAACACGGTGACTCCACATAGTCATTTTCCAGACGGGGGTGAAAAGGAGACGCCAGTGAGCGGCTGATGATAATGACACTGGGCGCCAGGCAGTCGTCACGGCGGTGTAAAATGTTCCAGATCAACATAGCGGCTGCCATGGTTGCCAACAGACAAGCAGCTATGTCCAAGTAGCAGGAGTAGGACAGGTGTGTGTACGGTCCGATCCTGTAGAAGGTGACGAGTCCGATCACGAGCACAAAACCTGGACAGAAATGAGAGCAGGAGACTTTAGTCGTGTCATTTCGTGGCTGTGTTTAATCACTTCTGACTATTACCAACGATTTAATTATTATATTTATTTTATTATTATATTATTTTTATTTATTTATTTTAAATTCTGTGTTTTACATTTTATTTGACCAGACTTTTGTCCCTTTAAGGCATTTAGAAAAACTCCTCATCCAACTTTACATTAATACATTCTATATTTTTAAACCAATTTTCATATTTTTTGCTGCAGATCAGCAGTTAAGTTTATTATTGCGAATGGACAAATTTGAAAGGTTTACACATTTACTGGCCATTTCATCAGGAACAGCTGGTCAAACATAATTGATGTCTAATACACCGGCACATCACAGGCTGCTGAGCCAGTGGGTTAAAGAACATACCAAAAAGTCAAGACGACCTGCTGACTCACAAACCATGACAGTAAATGGACCATTGGTCTGAATGTGGGTGTGAATGGTTGTGTGCGTCGAGTGTCCTCGTCCAATGACTACTGTAAAGTCATGACCTTACGTGACCTGGTGAAACCAGGTCTCTCTTTCACTCTCTCTCTCTGTCTGTCTGTCTGTCTTTCTGTCTCTCTCTCTCTCTGTCTGTTTGTCTCTCTCTCTCTCTCTGTCTGTTTGTCTCTCTCTCTCTCTGTCTGTTTGTCTCTCTCTCTCTCTGTCTGTTTGTCTCTCTCTCTCTCTCTGTCTGTTTGTCTCTCTCTCTCTCTCTCTGTTCTCTCTGACTTCAGAAGTCTGTTTCCTCTGAGGAAAAACTTCTAAGATGGGGAGATCAAAGTTCTGCCCAGGCTGAGGTCGTTGGAGAACTTTAATCTCATGACTTCTTTGATTCCCAGTACTTTAACTCACGCAATGAGGAACTCCTGTCCACACATTCCATTCCATGCTGCTCACTTTGATCCATCACTTGTTTTATCTGCGTTATTAATGTCTCTCGGGGCCGACGCCTTTTTCCCCGTCCATATTATTAGACCTACATGAAAGTCTACGTCACGTATCTGACCACGTTCAAGTGCAGACTGGAGCCGGCCAGTGATCGGACCATTATTCATGTCTGAGCCTCATCCACACTGGTATAAATACAGTGACCAAAAATAATCCCTGGAAATAAGGATGTCGTTGTTTTAGGATATGAATCAGTCGATTTCCTGTGTCCGTCAGCGGCACCAGGTGGAGTGACCACTGAGGAGGGGAGGCTTCATTTGTACTTCTCTCTGTATCTCTGTATTAAGATGGCTGTCATTGTTCTCCGTGAGGATGTGAACAATCGTATGTTTGCGTGTCTACCGCACATAAGAATGCAACTGTTTGCTGGCTCTCGTCATGTTTAACCTGTCTGGCTCCTTATCCAAGAAAATGAATGATCTCCTCGGGTTCCAACCAACCAGGGTGGGCTGTGTGAACCTCTTTTCTGGCGTGGACTTATCTCCCAAAACTTCCTTCCCCTTCTTCCTCTTTCCATCCTTCCTTCCTTCCCTCCCTGTTCTCCACACCCTAACCTTCGAGGTGGCTATAAAGTAGTCGCAGGACTTTTGACACGGTGTGTCACAGACACATCTGAGCCACTCTTATCTAAAGGCCAGGTCTTGGAAATCACTTTGGCCAGTTTGTTTTTCTTCCATCAACTATTGTCTTGGTTTATTCTTAAAGGGCACGAAATTGGATGGAATGAATCCATAATTCCAGGAATATTGCCAATGAAATTTAAGGTCTTGACATGAAATACGAAGTTGTCAAATGTGAATACAACTATTTAAACTCTGCCCTTTCAACAGTAAACACAATCTCAACATCTGTCCTCAGGCGTGACGCGGACCATATTTTGGCTCTCAGTTGGAAATCTGCTGGGAAAATATGCAAAATTGGATAGTGTTATTCGGGCATCTGTTCTGAATTGTGGGATATTTTGGCACGTCGGGGAATGACAACATTCCTGAGAAAGAGGCTGATGGGTAAAAATATACCCATTCATTCTGAACAGACTCATTCACAAAGTCAAAACAAAGGAAGGCCTGAAGTACAAATGCAGAATAAAATGGCTGGATCTTTATCTGCAATAAAACTTTATTATTTATCGTTTTGAGATTTAATACATTTTAATTATAGCTAGCGTATAATTGTAGCAAACTTGTTTCTTTTTTCTTTTTTGTTTTACATTTTTCATTATAAAACCCAGTCACTTTCCAAAGTAAAGTAAAATTATATGTGACCCATATTATTTTCTTTAACCCTGATGTGTATTTAAAAATATATAGACAGTAGTTTCAAAACACATGTATCTTCCTGTTTGATGATGCAGCTGTTGTGGTTTTATTTGACTATTTATATATATATATTATTATATACATTTAATACATACATATTTAATATATATATTTAATTTGTCATCTGTTTTCCTCTTGTGGGATTGTAATTTAAAAAATTGAATTTTTCAAAAAAATTCCACCTCTTTCTGCTTGGTTTTTAGTTGTATTTTGCAATATTGATGTCAGGTGTAATTGAAGGGAACTTTAAACAGTTGGTTGGGATAACCTCTAAAAAGTTTTGATTTGAGTGAAAAGAACATACTTTTTTCCATACATTTCCCTATTTGTTCTAAGTAGGTATTAATTAGTAAATAATTAGTAAATATAGATGTGTCTACTGCCCCGTCTGCTGACCTTTGACAGATCTTGGACAGGTCTTAGATAGTGCTGAGCCTCAGTTTGAGTTAATCTCTTCAGGTATGCAGCATCCAATGCATCATTCTCCATTTTTAAGATTATGTCTCCAAAAGCTAATGAGCTAAGTGAACTGCCCGATAGCCTACTGTAGCATGTGTTATCTGACTTATGTATGAAATGTCCAGGGTGGACGCCCTCGGCCCTCATCTGTGCTCATGATAAAGACCAGACTATTTTCCTGCGCCATTGAATATGTCATAAACACAGACATTCTAATGTATACCGTCAGAGGGAAATCCCCATGTGTACGGACAAACACTTATCTGCTCGAGCCAACCATAAACACATGCACATAAACCCTGTGGCCACTGCCGACACAAACACAGTCCCTGTCGAAAACTGTCTTTCCCGTCCATTCTCCCCTCCCTCCCTCCCTCCCTGCCTTCTTTTTCCTTCTTCAGCTCAGGGGTTTGCATAACAGGTAGTCACAGACATTTCCTCGTCCTGAGCAGGGATATCCTGGCGCCTGACAGTCGCTCTCTGGCCCGCTGCAGCTCTGGCCCGTGGATTCTGGGCTGAGAGGCTAAATTTAGACCCACAGCAGAGAGTCCCCTTCACTCTGCTCTGCCACAATGATACAGAGTCAGAGAGGGACCACAGCAGGCAGCAGCTCAGCACACTTCCTGAGCGGGGACACTGGGACGTAGCAGGCTGAGACAAGTCTCTGCTGTAGGATGGGTGTACTGTGGTGGATGGATGGATGGATGCATGCATGGATGGATGGATGGATGGATGTAGAGACTAGATGGAAGGACGACAGGATAGATGGATGGATGGATGATAAATAGATGGGATAGATGAATGGATACATTTAGAGGTGCTTTGATGGATTGATGTACAGATGGATGGATGCATGTGTTGATGGGTTGATGGGTTGATGGATAGATGTCGTGATACGTGAATGAAGGGATGTCGAGATGGATGAATTGATGTACACACAGTATGGATGATTGGATGGATGCATGGGTGGATGTCACCCCATCTCTATCCTTGAATCCTACTAACTATGGTTACTGTTTTGGAAGATTTCTTTCTTCTTTTCTTCAGAAATATATATCTATATTAAACAAGTACAGTGAATGATTTTATTAACGGGCCATTTTATTAGGAACACCTCCCATTGTCTTCACAACTGCATTAATTCTTCTTTACTTTGTTCAAACTAGAATCACATGGTTGCTGCAGATCTTTGTGCTAAATACCCATGATGCAAATCTCCTGTCTCTTGATTGAGGTCTTGTGACAGTGTAGACCTTTTATAGTCTGTCTTACTCTGCTGTTTATTTTTAACTTCAGCAGGTCTTCCCACGCTGTCTTTCCAGCTGTGGATAATATTTTAGTCTCATTACAGAACGTTACATTTTTCTTGCATTTTTACATTTTTATTCCTGTTGAATCTTCTACTTTTTTCCTCAGTGACATAAACTTAATGACACTGTTTAATAAAGACTCCTTTACTGTTAGTGATGCAAAGGTGTTTAAACCAGGCAAACCTTGTGTCACTGATACTCACTGGCCAACTGGAAGAGTGCAGCGATGGCTTCCTCCCACCATTGTGACTCCTGTGAGATGAAAGGCAACTCCATCAGACCCAGCAGGAAGATCAGCTGACCGGCCGTCAAGGCCACCGTCGCCATCAGGTTGCACGCTCGCATCATGTCAAACTGCACTTGAGTGACCAGAAGAAAAAGAATGTCATGTGAGTGTCACATCTCCACATCTGGAGTCTACACAAAATACAAACTGAATCGTGGAACTTTGTCATTGATATTCTTAAGAGTTAGAGTTAAACGTGCTACAGCAGCAGCTCTTTTAGACACTGCCTTTACTGTCAAAATGCCTTCATTCTTGCCAGAGAAGAAGAATGCCACCAGAGGGGAGTGAGAGAATCTGTTTACATCCACCTGGAGAAACAATCACTCAACGGAGGATGCAGGTTAAGGCACCGACCATCTGTCGTCGCATCCTGAATTCTCTCCTCTGGGAAACTCAACTCTCAGAACTCAGAAAAACAAAGACAAACACCTTGACTCAGGTAGAACCAACTATGTCAACGGTCAACCCCTGCACCGTTCCACACAGTTTCTCTCCTGTCAGGTATTCAGATCACTAGGTCCAAGGAGACGTGTCCTTGAGAAACTCCAAACCAGTCCAGCTGCAGTTAAACTCACTGCTAAAACGGACTTGTCACACAATTCTAGTCAGACGTTTGTCATGAATGCAGCAGCAGGGTCAGACTGCTGAGAGGCTGTTCCATGTTTTTCATTCTTATACTTGGGAAACGTTCTCAATGGAGCTCCAACAGTCATTCTATTACACACACTCTCTGCTCGGCCACTACTGACAGCACCACAACAGCCAACTAAAACATTCAGATGTGTAGATATATTGTTGAAACCCTGGCTAGCTGCCATGGAGTATCGCTTCGCCCAATATACGAGGGCAGAGAGGCTAACTAACCAGCATGGACTGCTGCCTCTGTTCTTAAGATACTGCCATGAGGTTGGCAGTTAAATCCAAACCGCAATAACTAAAAAGAAAAATAGCTTTTCTTATTCGTTTAAAAAGACAAATGAATGAATAAATAAATAAAAATATGTGTTTTTCAAAATGGTCATGCAAACCCTTTTTAAATTAGAGTATTTAGACTTGGTTTGTCTACTACTGTGGTGTTGTAAAGTACTGACAACAAGCTACTGCGCATATGTATACTGTGTGTGTGTATGTGTGTGTTCTACACTTCTGCAATTTGAGAAATATCTATCTATATAGAAAATTAAAACAGCTTGAGACCAAAATCCCATGGCGTTAAACTCACTGATGACTGATTACTCCAAAAAAGGTCAAAGTAAATAACGCTTAGTTCCAGTGAATACTGCCGTTCTGCCCTACTGTATGACTGTGTTTGCAGTAGAACAGACATTAGATTATACTTTTAAACACAACCAACATGTCAATGTTTTTAATTGACAAAAAACTTCAAGTCCAATATTAATGATTGGATACTTTAGAGTTGACACTTACATTTCACCGTGCTGCGAGACTCCTGGTACCCTGCGTACTCCGAGCCCCATCCCAGAGTCACACACTGCCTCTGCGTCCCCTGCCCCCTTCTCCCGACCTGAAAGTCATCGCGTCCCCTCTCCCCTCCAGTGGGACACATCCTCCACAGTCCCACGCTCCTCTTGCGGCCGTCCTCCAGGGCCTGCAGGACCCAGCTGGGCGTGAAGGCGGCCACATTGTTCAGTATCAGGGACAGCAGGGCTACAGTCACAGCCGCCACCACCAGCCTCTGCACGGCCATACGGCGCCCGACGCCCGCCACCTCTCCCCCACCCTCGAGGCCCCCCTCGGAACCCTGGTCCTGTTCAGCGTCCTGGCCGCTCCTGTGCCTCTCCTGCTCTGGGGCCGCTGCACCAGCAGTGCTCTGGGGCCCCTGGCTCCTCTCCTCCTCCTCCTCCACCTCCTTCTCCTCTAGCCGTTGGTGTGTTTAATCCCAACTCACGCAGAGGTGTTTTATGTCAGAGTTTTCTTCAGGTTCAGCTAAAGAACATCTCCATTCATCGTCCTTCAGGTGTTTGAATGTCGTTCTGGCACCAGATCTTCAACCTTCCTCTTCTTCAGACAGCACTGCAGGAACGCTGGGGTTAATCCAACTTGCACGTTGGTCCATTCCACTGGCTCCGTCTGGCTGCAGCTTGATCTCAAACTTGACCTTGTTTTCTTCTCCTTTTCGGCTTTCCTTTTTCACGTAGACCTGGCTTTGACTTTCCGCTCAGTGGCTCCACATTCTGCCCTTGCAGACAGCTGTTGCAATGAAAACACAGATTCTCCAGTCAGCGCTGCAGCGGGTTGAATGCTTGAATGCTTTTCTTAAATTTCCCGAGATTGTCTCCTGACGTGAAGATCGTCCACTGCCTGTCTGGCACAAAACGTCCACAGTGACTCCTCAAACAAACCTCTGCTCCTCTAATACTCCCTGCACTCTTGGAGGTCAGAGTTGAAGTGTGGGAGAGTTGCTGTTTGTCACAATGCGAGACATCAGTTCACACATGCAGCAGGCAGCCTCCACCCCCTCCCCCTCTATGTATGTGAAGGTGAGAGTGCGTGTGTGTGTGTGTGTGTGTGAGTGTGTGAGTGTGAGGTAGGGAGTGAGAATGTCCTAAAGACTCCCTGTTAGACGTCACTGTTGTGTATCCTTTTGTCTGGAACCCAGGGGGCGTTTATTAAACTCCTCTTTCTCTCTTGTTCTCCTGTGCAACAAACATATTGGCCACTGCGGTCGGGCAGCAACAGGATGTGTTTCCTGAGAGGAAAAGAGAGGATGGGAAAAGAGGCCAAATGTAGACCTGGTCCTTCTCTTGTCTTTCCTTTTCTGGCTCTCTAGATCTCACCGCTCTGTGAGCAGCGGGGCACATTCTTTCTCCGCTCTTTTTAAAAATACCTCACTTTCTGCGGCTGAGAGTTTTGTGACCATATACAGCCAAAAATCATACTTTTGGTCTCTTTCATGCTGGTCCTCCTTGGAATCTATTCTCTCCCCTTTTCTAAAAGCAGGGCCCCTGATGATTTGGGGTATTTCCTGTTGCTTGAGTTTAATAAACAGCCCACATCTGTATCAGGCTATGCAAGAAAGAGGGGGTGGGGGTGAGGGAGAAGGAGGAGGAGGAGGAGTGGGCTGCAAATAGAGACCAGATGGCTGTGGAATCTTAAATTTGGAAATGAAGCAAAATAAAGGGGGGCAGAGGGCTTGATTTGCGTCAGCAAGAGAAAAGCAAAGACAGAAAAAAGGACAGGCCAGAATAGCCTGGATGTCTCTTGATTTTATCAACATATTTTTATAAAGTTTATATCAGGACAGGACGTGATTTTTTTTTCCTCTGATGAAACATATCAATGTGAATTTTGATTCCATTCCTAATTTTAACAAAGTAATAGCTATCTATGAACTAACTTTTAGCTTTTCTAAGTTTTCTTCTTCTATGCTTTGTGATTTACTTATAATAACCAAGTTAATATTTACATATCTTTTTGCGGTTTTATTGATAACCATAACCATACTTTTTGGTTAACTCTCAGCCACCTTAGGTTTATTTTTATTTATTTTTATGTTAATATAAAGCATACTTTTCACCATTTAACTCTTTCATTCTTCTAACCTTTTTTCCAGAAACCATTGGCCCACAATCAATCAGTTAAAAGTTAACCCAAAATACCATGTAGGCCAAAATAACATATTAGCTAAAATAATGCCAAATGTTAGCTATAATCATTGTTTTAAAAGTCAATTAAAAAAACAAGTATATGTCCAGTTTTTACCAAAATTAGCAAAACATAAGTTAAAAAATAGCTTCCATGAAGCCACAGGCTGGACCAGAAATTGTTAAAAGTTAGCAAGAACAAAATAGGTAAAACAGATTACCACGTGTTACATTTAAAAACAGATGACTGAGAGCTGAAAGAAAGCTTAGAACTAACAACAAGTGCCAAAATGCCACAAAAAAAAAAACAAAAAAAAAAAAACCTTTTTGATATATCTATGTTTTCAGACTAAATCAGCACCAAAACATGTTATGTTTCTTTTCTGGTAACAGTTTATGAATATGTGGTTTCACTTCTATGACTTTGTATTTACACAGCAGTTTGGGGAAACAGGGCCAGGATATGTGTAAAAAAAGACTGTCTGCTTAATGTGTCACATGTGTGTCCTGGGAATATGGGAAATGTCAGGACAGCAGAAACACTGGAACCACAGCACAGTGGGGGTGGTGAGATATTAGACTGACTTCTTCTTATTGGACTGTGCATCAGTGTGTAATCCATACGAGAAGGCCATTGTTCTGTTAATAGAAAACATCTGTCTGCTATAATGTTACATCCTTTCTGTGCAAATAGCCTGTTCTTCTTTTAGGCCTTTTGACTGTACAAAGACTTGGGGACTTTCCGGACCAAAAGGATTTATCATTCCATCATCTTTTCCTGTCTTTCAACAGGAAGATAGTGAAGTGTTGCACAAGTCCTGTTATAACCAAGACCTACTGAAGCTTTAAAGCAGGGCGCCCAAACTCTAATGATCTGAGGGCCTCTGCTGCCTCCTTCAGTTCATTGCAAGGCCACACCAGTGTTCAGCGTTCGATTAAAAAATAAATAAATAGAAAAGGTAGTTTTTGTTTAATATAAGTCAGTGTTCAGTAAATGATTTTAAATGATAAACAAATAAGTCAATTGAATATATACACACATATATATATATATATTTAAATTAACTCGTGGGTAAAATAAAGTATTGTTAACACAGTCTCACGGATGAAAACTAAATAAAAAGTCCGCTATGATGACGAAAACTATGGCAAATGTAATGAACTAATCAAGAAAGGAGACAAAAATATTAGGGCGGGACGAATGGAGATGAAAGCCAATCAGAACGAACCACATCGTGTGTCTGTTTGATCACTCCAAAACAGGGCCACAGCTGCGGCAAATTAAAAGTTTCAAAACTGGCTTCACTCGTTAGCAGCGATTTCCCATAATGCACACAAACAGAGGGCAAAGGTATGTCTCACAAACAACACAGAAATATCAGCGAAAACGTTTGGACGTTAACAACCAAAGCATATGTTCTTTCAAATCTATTTCCAGTGCTGAAAGAGCCACGCTATGGTCGACTTGCTAAAACATTAAGGACTATTTCTTTGGGATTTTGGCATTACAGTTTTGCATTACAATGGCATCATTATTTAAACAACTAAATAGCGTTTTATTTAAAAGACTAAATCAGAATTTGCTGTCAAAATAAAGAGGGTTCTACATGTCTGAATCTTCCAAGATCGATAATTCCTAAATTAAACACCAAGGAGACGCTGTTGCATCATATGTTTAAGATGAACACCTAAGTATAATTTTTATACGTACAGTACGTGTTACTTACGTAAACTCACCTTTTATAATATAAAAGATGAGTTTACGTCACTGTACTGTACTGTAATGGTAAATGAGCTTATTAGCAACAAATTTACAAACTTACAAAAGATTAATTAGCAGTAATGTATTATTTTATAGCGAAGTTCAAACACCAGGGCGTCAAGCTACAGTGGAAACCATAATAATAAATATCTGATAAGTAACAATATAACATTTATCGCAACATAACATTTATTTATCACAATTACCCAAATGAATTTGATTTCTAATGATTAATAAGAGCTGTAGTGAGTCAATTTTTGTTTTGTTTTTACCGCCTCTCTGTGTACTGTCTATTGAGCTGAAGTTGAAAAAAAAAAAAAAAGTTTAAAAAATATCTGGAGCTGACATTGTTTTGTCTTTCCACAGGAGGGCGCCAAAGACCTATTTTTAAATAAGTCACACTAAAGGGGCGCTGCATGTTCTTTTCAAAGAAAACTCTATAACATTTAATAGTAGCTTCTTTATTATTATTATTATTATCAATGTCAGTGTGTTTTTGACCGCTGACAGCTTCATCTAAAATTACTGCAAAAATTAAAAAAATAATCTGAGCGACAGTCATTAGAAGTTGTAGATTATAAAAGTTATTCCAGTTAAATTTGCTCAGATAATCTTCTATGTACAGTGTTTTAACGTAGGGTTCTGTTGTTTCTGTCTGTGTTTAGTTACACAGAGAACCACATTGTCCAGCCTGACTGTGTGTTTGCTTTCACACCATAGCAACTTGTTGTTGCTGCGGGCTACAGTGGTTGTAAATCTGTGATCAGCTGCAGCTCAGTACAGTGAATAAAGATGGAGACTAACGCACAGCAAGCAACTATTAATGAAGTTCAGAAGAAACTCCAGGCTCTGACAGAAGAAAATGTGAGTAAATTCTTCTTCTGTAATTCGAAGATTTAACACAATGAAAGATAATCCTCCTTTTGTTGCTTCAACTACCCTCAGCGTCAGCTTTGTGACAGAAATGAACGTCTCATTGCCAAAGTGGGCTACCTGGAGGGCCGACTGGGCCACTTGGCCAGCTCCAACACAGACCTGTCCTGTAGACTGATCCAGAGTGAGGAGGAAAAACTGAAGGTACTGCACCTTCACTGTCTTAAACATCAACTGAGGCTCACTATATTTCAACATCGGCTAATTTTCTTTATTATTAATATTAATATATTAAATTCTAGATTTCCAAAGAGCTTGTGGAGGAAAAACTTCAGACCAACAGGTTCAGAGAACACTTTGAAGAAGAGAAGTTTGAGCTGAAAAACAAGGTAATAATGTCTGGATAAACAGTGTATTATTTTCTTACTTTTACATTATAACAATGAGATAATAGTAAATTTTGTACATAAAGGGCTCCAGAAAGTTGATATATATATTTCCAAAATTAATTTACAATTTATGTCAGACACAAACAGCAGTCAAACATAGCCGAGGATTAGCCAACATATCTTGATATAAAATTTGAATTTGCTAAAGACATGGCAGAAACAGCTTGGAAATGGAGCGAATACTTAATCTAAGATCAAAAATGACCTAAAGTGATGCAAAACTGTTAAAGAATAACATTTTACGTCATTATAATATAAATAAGGAGTTGCTCAAAATTAGCCATCATCACAGACCCTAAATAAATTAGTTGATTGTTTTGTGCTTTACAGTTTTTACACCTCCTCATAATAAAGCATTATTTTTGAAAATGTTTAAAAAACAAAAAGCTAGAAATCCCAAAGGTGCTAGCCCAGAAATACTAACAATTTAAAAAAATAGCTAACAAAAAGCTTAACGTAAAAAATAATAATAATAACATTTCATTAAAAAAACTATCAAAATGCTGGTAAAAAGTATACACAACTTGTCAAAAATGACAATAAGAGAAAAAAAGGTCAGAGTGCAATTCACTATTTAAACTTAACTTAAATTTAAACCGACTTCCTGTCCAAACCAATTGTGGGTCTGGCCCACAGTGTTCAGAAACCATTGCTATAGCCCACTTGTGTTTACAACAACAACAGTGATTCATGTCTGTGTTGCTTGTTCTCAGATATTGACCAAGGACAGTACGATTGCAGAGCTGCAGCTGGAACGAGACCAGTTGTCCAGAGAACTCCAGTCTGTGGAAGCTCGACTCAAAGTGGGAGACAAGAGCGGCCAGGAGCTGACGGAAGAGTTCACCTCTCTGAAGAACAGCTACCTGGTACTGATGGACGCTCATAAGAAAGAGCTAGCTAACAGTGAGAACCTGAGTAAGGAGCTGCTGACACTGGCCCAGGCTCAGGACGCCCTCCGGCGACAGCTAGAGGAACAGCAGCAAAGTGTCAACACCACCACCCAGGGCCTTCATGGAGAACTGGAGAGAGTGAAAGCCTTGATCAGCAACATGTCATGTAACAGAGTTCAGGTGGGTCAGTGTCTTTGAGTGGCCTATGAATGGACGAATGAATGACTTTATGTCAAATGTGGTCCTGACATTATTAAATCTATTTATGTACTTTTATGAAGCCTGAAGATTTGGCAGCATTGGACCAGGAGCAAAAAACGGTAGGTATTTCTCTACAAGTAGAAAATGAATCATTTCAACCGAGTTGATAAAGTAAGTAAAATATAGTAAAATGAAACCACTGATAAGCTGAGACAAAGATGGCTACAGGTTAGCAATAAAAAAACAACAAAAATAGCTTTACTTTAGGCCAGAAAAAAACAAAAAGTAGTCAAAGAATGAAAGATAGATCAACCTGAAATAACTGAACCATAGGCAAAGTTAAATAAAATATATTAATAGATTATCCCAGAAATTGATGAATGTTAGCTAAAACACTTCAAATATAAACACCAAAGTCAAAGAAAAAAATAGTTACTGAACAACCAACCATAATCACAACAATGCTAAATATTATTTATATTTTTTCTTTTTTGCTTAAAAGGGTGTAAAGACTAAATCTTGGTCAGAAATAGCTAAAAAATATTAGCTAACATGGCTAAAGGATAACAAAAACCTGAGCCTGAGATATGTAGAAACAGGCCAAATAAATGGAAAGACAACAAAGAGCTTTGGAAATTTATACCGAATTTAAGATAACTGGGTCAAAGGGTTTCAGTAACTGTACTTTTTAATCCAGCTTTTGTTCCTCAGCTTCTGGGGAACCAGGGTGAAATGAAGGAGATGCTGCAGAGCCTGAGGGACAGTTACCAGGAGCAGCAGAGGAAGTTGGAGGAAAAAGTGTGAGGGACACTGTTTTTTTTGTGGGTTTTTTTGTGCCCCAAACCTGATGAGGAGGAGATGTGATTATCTTTGTTGTTCCTTCTCATCAAACAGCAGCTAAACCTTGTCTTCTGACTAACACTGTACGTCTCTGTCTTCGTCCCACATGCATCTGCTCTGTGGTTTCCTCTTTGATTTGGGTTCTGGGCTTTGGTTTCACTCAGCGTGTGTGATGTGGTTTCTTTGCTTCCTCTTGTGATGTGGCCGACTGTGGATTTCGGTCACTGCTCTCATGTGGTTGAGCATCTGTTTGGTCATCAGGGCAGCAATGAGCAGGGAGCGCCAGGAGAACCGGGAACTGATCCGTAACAGCCAGAAGAGACTGTCTGGGCAGAGCGCCGTGAGTCACTGATACTGTCTGTATGACTTTTGACTAAGTAAATGCTGGGAAATTTGACACCACGTCTGTGTAACTCTGACCCAGGCCCTGCTGTGTTACCAGAACCAAGTGAAGGAAGTCGAGGAGCAGAACTCGCAGCTTCAGCTCCAGGTCAAAGAGCTGAATGAAGAATATCGTGCGAGGCTGGTGTGTTACATACAGGACTTGACTGTGAGACATTCAAATATCCATCTATTATCAACCCCGCACAGTTTAAAAGATCCAGTTACTTGTTCTTACATGTATTTATTTATTTATTTTTAAATTTTAATTTAAGCTAACTTTCTTACTCACAATGACTCTGTGGTCTGCAACCTATGGCTCCTGTGTGTCATGCAGCTCTTTATTCTTTTTTTTAAATTTGGTGGTCAAATGATAAAAGTGTCTCACCACTGGTATAACCAACGTTCCCCAGCTGTACGTTGATGGCCTTGGGGAAGGTAAAAGTCCAGCAGGAACAAAGATGAGAACGTCTGTGGAGAACATGCTGCAGGACGTGCGATCCACCTACAGGGTCAGAGAAGAACAGCTGACCTCGGCTGCTCGCTCCTATAAGAAGAGACTGCAGAAGATCGCCAGGACCCACCAGGCTCTGCTCATCATGTACAGGTGAAGCTCAGAGTATTTTCACGTGTTTAGCACAGAGTTATCTCAGCAGTGTCAGACTACACAGTGAAGTTTGTTGAACTTCTCCAGACTCTAATCTGTAGATCTTATCCCAGGGTCCAGAGGGAGCAGATCTTAGCCAGACCAGACACTGGCCTTGACCCTGGACCTCCGGAGGCTGAGTTCAGCCTAGAGCAGAGTGAGCTGAGAGGTGACACGGAGACGGAGCTCCAACACCTCCGTCAGGACAAGGCCAGGCTGGAGATGGAGCTGCAGGCGTCCAGAGAGGAGGTAGTGTGGTGTGAGAGAGTACTGGCCGCTTTGAAGAGGATCCAGTGGATTGTGTTTGGTCTGTAGGGATCCTTCTTTGTGTCTGTGCTTTTGTCTGAGCAGCACTGACAGGAACGACCCACAGAGATGTATAGAGTGACTGTTGTGGAGGTTGAATGTGAATCAAGGATCATGTCCACACCGAGGGATGTGTTACGTGTTTATATTGTACACAGAAGACAGTGGCTTTGAAGTTGTGTTTTATTTGATGTTAATTTAGCAATTCCTCCTAACAGTGATATTATTTTGTGGCCCTTGGTCTCAACTAATGTTAAAAATGCCACACCATCATCAACAAGCAGCCGTAACTTCTCTCCGGTTACAGATGGCTGCCCTTAAAGTACCTTTCGAAAATACTCCGTCTTCTCAGGGGTAGGTGGCACTTCTTTAGTTTCTTTAATAAAAAAAAAAGGACCGCTGTAACGTACAAGTATGTAATAAATAAATCATGTTACTTTATCAGCACGGTACGAGTGCAGCAGATGTGTGAGGAATCCTGGCTAGACATGAGGACACAGCTGAGGGAACTCACTGACTCCACGCTGGTAAACATGCTGCACTTGTTTTTCATTTACATCAGAGGTTTATCTGTGCTTCCATGGGATTTCCAGCTGGGTAGGAGATAAGGAAGGGCTCGGCTGAAAGCCCTCCTTAGAATATTAGATAATGTACTGTTATGATGGGTGTTACAGTTTTCAATACTTTAATTAAAATGGCCAGCTGGGATAAAAGTCAGTCCCAGGAAAAAATAAATCACAGCCCAATCACAGTGTATCAAAGTCAGTCTGTTTGGCATACAACAAGATCAACAGTAGTTTAATAAAAAAAAAAGTTACAAACGGTAGGCAAAAAATAAAAAATAAAATCCTGAAATATAGCAACAACTGAAGCTTAGCTAATAAGCTATAATGTGGCTAAAGAAATTGTGTATAACACAAAGGAGGTCCAGAAATATTTGCCAAAATTAGCTAAACATTGACCCCAAGACATGTAAAAGATAGCCAAAACAGCTAATACATTAGCCGCAGCAAATGTAGACCTAGAGAACGGGCAAGAAGATTAGAAAATACGAAGAAGGAAAATAGAGGACAGTATAGCTAAATAATAAGTTAGAAAGTTGGGGATAACTTAGCTAGAAAAAAAAAGGCTAAATAGTTCCCATACAACAATAGCCAAAAGAAAATCTTGAATTTAAGCAAAAACACATTATAGAAAAAGCTTAAAAGAAAGCTACAATAAAGTGGAAAAACAAACCAAACATTCACTAAAACACTGAAGTTACACCTGAGGTAACTGCATCACTACTGTAAAAACAGGCAAAATGATCCTGTATTTCACCCCAAATTTTCCTTACTCTATGAACTCTCAGACCTCCATCCTCCCTTTGAAAAGTTCTGTCATTTTCCTGATTCTTTTTTTTTTTTTTTTTTTACAACAGTTGGACTCAGAGAAGGAGCGAGCGGCTCTCCTCAGCAGAGCAGCAGTAGCAGAGGCTCAGGTGTCAGAGCTGCAGGACTACGTCAACAACCACCTAAGCAGGTCAGGAGGTCACTATGTATTTTTTTAAGTAAAAATAACAAAAAATTGAAGGTTATAATATTAAAAAATAAAATAAATATTAAAATGATGATAATTATTACCCACAGATATAAACAAGAGATTGAACATCTCCGCAGACTCCACAGAGGGAAAGTGGCAGGACCTGCACATTGCACATTCATCACTGCAGTAGGAAAACTGAACAACTGAGATCTGAATAGACTGCAAACAACCTGATTCTTGTTCACAATTCCAGAAATGTTAGTTAAGAAAAATGCTATGAAATCTAAAATCTGTAGCTTAACAATTCTAAAAAGCATTTGGACGATCTTCACCTCAGTTTTAAACTCTCTTCACATCACTTACACCATTTCAGCATCTGAAAAACCTTTTGAAGAGATTCTAAACTAAAATGTGACTCCATCACTAGGTGGTGCTGCTCATTTTGCTGTGTCTCTATGAAAGGAGCCCCCCCCCAACCCCTCCCGCCCTGTCCTCTTGCCCAAATACATTCAGCCTTGAGAAGAAAATGCCTGGAATGTTTGCAAAGCTTATGTCAATTTCACGAGGTGGGGAGAAGAAAGGGCAGTGACAGCGAGGGGTCACTCTGGTGAGAATAATGTCATTACATGTTACCCAGACACGTACACGCCTGTTGAATGCTCTGCTGAGAAACTGTGGCACAAACGAGTCGGGCTTTTCCAGGACGAGGGCTCATATTTATAACCTCCATGTCACTTTGACTGGGCAGCGACTGGGCCCCTACACAGTGAAAGGGATGCTGGGTGTTTTGTTTTTGTGTGTGTTTTTGTGGCTGTGCTTCATGCCACAGTGACAAACTGACATGTTCTAAAAATAGAGAGTGTGGACTTAAAGGAAATATTTGATTACAACTGTTGCTTTGGATAAATATACGGCTTATACATGCGTAGGGATGAGGAAGCTTTAAGTTGGAAATTGTTCTGGGAAAGAAGCCCAGAGGAATGATGGGAAAAGTAGAGGAGATGGAAAAGAGTCATAGACATGTCACCCCAATCCTCTTTTCAGGGGGCATGCCAGTGGTGGGAGGGGGTCGGGGGCTGCAGGGATATCAGGGGTGTGAAAGTCTGAGAGGAATGGGAAGTGGGATTTTGTTAGTAATGTATAACACTTTCAGGACCCTGGGAAAAGGGGGTTTTCGAGGGCTGTGGTGGAGGGGGGGTTCAGTTTGGGTCTGTGCCAACATAGTCACTGTGCCAAAGCGTCGGGTGCTGGAGACCGGGTCCTCTCGGCGGTAGATCTGTGGGAAAAATCAAAAGCAGGTTCCTCTTTTTGCTACGAGATGATGAGAAGTTGTTCTCATGAGAAGAGTTTCTGCAGAGGGCTCTGGAAAATGGAGTGTATTCCACAGAAAGGCAGGAGAAGTCAGAGAAAGTTCATCAGTGTGAGGGCACTGTGGAGTGAGGTGGTCTGGTCTGGGCTGCACCACAGCTGGTCAGGGCAACGAGGCCTGCTGCCAAGAGTTTTCTCATCTTTGGGAATTTTTTCTTTTTGGAAAAGTTGAGTGTCCGACTGTGAACAGTCAGTGACCACTGTATGCAGTCACTATTGTGATGGAGATAATGGGAAAGATGATGGATGGTGTTTTAATGTATGGACATGGATGAGCTTCACATGTGACATCCTCAGAATGTTGCCTTTAAAATCCCAGAATTCCCTGTGTCTTTCATTCTTTGTGGCAGGAATATAATCAAATACATTTGGTTCTTAGTCTGTTTATTGTTTAAATTAACAATGTAGACTCGTTTTTCCTTGAGAAAGTTCAAATTGTGGGGAAAAATGTCTGCAATCTAACATAAACAGAAATGAACTACATAAATGTTATAAAGGAAATGTAAATGATCTGTGATTTTAGATTCAGAATTCCTAGAATCCTTGAATTCCCAAGAGACCCAGAATTCTGAGGAAATAAATTACCTAAAATTTTAAAACTAAAATATTAAAAACAATCTTATCAAAAAATAAACTTTTATGTTTATGTTTACGTCTTTTCCCCTTACACTTTTCAAATATGTTTTATTGTTTTTTTTATGTTTGTTTACCTGTCCATAAACTGTATGACATCATCCCACTTCATCAACATGTTTTGGCCACAAGTTTAGAAGAAGAAAGTGAACTCCTTGTCATTGTGACACAGCTCACCACTGCACACAACCAAATGTGACCTCTGCTTTTAACCCATCACCAAAGTGAACAGTGAACAGCTTTAAGGGGGAGCAGAGAGTGGGGACGGTGCCATGATCAGAGCACCTCAGTGGTAACTTAGCAGCTGGTGGACTCGAACTTGAAACCTTCTGGACCCAAGTCCTTAACCATCAAGGCACCACTGCCCCTTGTTCCTTTTTTCAGAGTTTTGTGTCTGCAGCCCAAACTCTAAATGTTGTAGAGTAAGTGATGAGGTCATAGGAGGGTAATTTAGACCGTTTTTATTGGCTGGTGCTAAAAAATTGAAATACATGAAGATTAGAATTATATTAATGAAGTTCTCTTATAAGACCCTTGCCCGTGTTTCAGACTCTGACTGTGTTTGGAGGCTAACATTAGGCTCAGCAGTACAGTATGTTGTAAGAGCTCAGTGAGAAACAGGTTGGCTGAACATAGGGTTCTGCTGATGGGAAGCAGGCTGAGCCTGTGTGGAGGAAGTTCCTCACATGGTCTGTGATGGGCTGCTTGTCAACAGGCCCTTTGTTTTAGGAGGTTAATGTAGTGGAGGTGTGAGGGGGGTGGGGGGGGGGGGGGGGGGGGGGGGCTGTGTGTTCAGAGTGTGTGAGCCGGGGGGGCTGCACCACCCTGCCTTAATTGGAACGGACAAGCCTTGTGTGAAGGAGCGCAGGGGGAAGAGATTTACGGGAACGCAAGGAAAGGACAGAAACTGAGTGGGAACCAGGGGGGAAAAGGTGAGAGTGGGTTTGAGGAATGTGGAGGCAGTGGGAGAGGAATCTGTCGAGATGGTCCGATGATTTGGCGAGATTGTGTGAAATGTGGAGCCACAATAGTGAAGTGAAAGTTCCCATGTGGAGATGAAGTTGGTGTGTTGCATGTTCCCTACGACAACTGGAAGGTCTGGGAGGTTTGCCAAAAATAGCTTAAAGTTAGCCACAGTTAGCCACAGGATTAGCCACAGGACACAGTGGGGTCAGCTAAACTTCCTTAGCTACTTTTGGCAGACTAAATCAGATTAGATTAGAGTAGATCAAACCTTACTACTGATTCCAAAGAGTATGAAACAAAGAGGAAAAAAAAGAATTTAATTAGAATTAAGTTCTCATAAAACACACATGTATATTTATTTTTCCACATTTACACAAAGAAAAATGTAGTCTGTTTTAGAGCTGTCCATATTGTTGAGTAATGGCATGATCTTTTTGAGTTTAAATTTAAAAGCTTGAATTTAAAACATGTATTATATAATGAATGTATTAAGTAAGCTTAGTCTGCAGATAAAACTTCTAATTCTTCTTAAAGACATTTCAACACTTAATAATAATAATAATCATTTTTGTCAACTGTTTTCTGCCTCCAGCATCAGCTTTAAGCTTTAATGTCTGTTTGCAAAGTGACACTTCTTAAAGTTTGAATTTAAGGGGACTTAAGAACAAATATAGATGTAAAAACAGTTGATAAATGAGTTTAAAGTTTTCTAGTTTTTGTCTTAAATGGTACATCCATTTTCCAATGCTGGCTATACATTTATGTCAACTACAGATTTCCAGCCAAAACTGTCTGCATTTCTTTTCTGAGACACCTGTCTTTTCTTCTCCGATGAACTGTCTTCTCACCCCCACCCCCTCCTCACCACCTCTCTGTCTGCCAGTTTCAGACAATTCACGCAGCGAGTCCCCAGCTCCTCTCCAGACAAGCTTTCAGCGTGAAGGCTGTCTGAGAGGAGAAGCGTTGAGGGGTAGGAGAGGAGGAGGAGGAGGAGGAGGAAGAGGAGGAGGAGAAGGGAAGGAGCACAGAGGAGCTGTACACTTCAGGAAACCTTGAAGAATTAGTCCTGAAAGCTTTGGACATTGAGGGTGACTGCAAGAAGAGGGGGAGAGAGGGAGAGAGGGGTTGGAGAAAAAGAAAAAGTAGAGGATCAATATGCCATAAAGACTAGAGAGTTGATAATGAAGATGAGTGGGAGGGTGAGGGGTTGACGGGGTGGGCTACTAAAGGTAAAAAAAAAGAGTGATAAAACTAGAGGCTGGAGAATATAGGGTGAGAACAGAGGGGAGGAAGAGGTACAGTAAGGGTGAGAACACAGGGGAGGGAGGCAGCTTGATGAAGAGGACCGAGTGAAAATGAGGCTGAATGCCGCTGAGGGAAGGAGAGAGGGGCAAACGCTCTGCTTTCCCACACTCCGCCGTTCCCACAGTGGACCCGGCTAATCCCTGTCTTAATTGGGGGAGAATTCCTGCGCACATGTTCCCCTAGAATGAGCGAAGGGAGAGAGAGAGAGTGGAAGGCCTGCGTGGGGAGCCCGTGACACATCAGACAGACCCAGCGGCTGGACTGATGCTCAGTGTGTGAGTGCACTTTGCTGGAATATAAACACACAGCCTGACTGTCAGCACATCTGACGCATAAACGGCTTCACAAAGATTCTCTGCTTCTTTTTTTTTCCCCACTTGGTCTCGAGAGTGCTCTCATAGGCCAGTCACCATCGCTCAGTCACATCCCACTAGGACTGAAAACCACACTTTCAATTCTGTTATGTTCATAAAAACAAAACAACATAGTTTAAGAGCAATTTCACCGAAATATGATTCCATATATATTTCATATTTTCTGCAAATATACCAGCAGGTCAGAAATGCCTGTGTTCTTGTATTGACTCAATTCATGACGGACAGCATCATGATTAACAGCCGGTCAGGTGAGCATGACCTGAGACCTGGATGTACTCCAGTTGGTTTGTCTTTTCGATTATTTCCAGCTGGACACTGATACCTCACAGTATGGTTTTTCTTCTTTCTGCCCAAAGTTGAGTAGAAAAAACCTACAAACAACAGAGATGACTGTGAACAGATGACCTGATGACCTCAGGTCAATCAAGACCAAGTACAGCCAATCTGGTAAGGAACCATTTGTTTCTTAATAAAGTTTTGAGTGAGCAGAATTGCACAACTCCTTACCTTAGGTGACTGGTTCCCAAAATGGGGGTTGGGTGTCCCCCAGGGGGTGCT